TGGGTGCACTGCGAGGTGCCCCTCTGTCCCTAAAGAAACCAGACCCTAAGGAAACAGGGAGGCATCGCTTCACGGAGCGGGTTTGGCACAGACCTGTTGGATGTGACGAGCAGGAGGGCAGGAATCCCCACGTACAGATCCTCCATGGGATGGCTGAGGAGTGCCTGCATCACGAGTCCTGCCCAGCATCACCTGCATCACTCACCCGGACCCAGGCCCTCTGGAGCTGGCACTGGTTTCAACCAGGCTGGTGATGATGGCACTTGAACCAGGGAGGTGCAGCCACGCTGGCAGAGCGGAACCTTCAGCAAGTCTTGGGAATAATTCCAGCCAAGACCCTTGTTACTTAATGTGCTCCTGACAGGAGCAGGCTCTGGCTGCTCCCAGGTCTGCTCGATCTGCCTTATCCCATGCTGTGGTACAGAAAAGCACTGTCAGGATGGGATGATGGCAGCAGAGCAAGGGATGACTTGGTGCCCACTCCTTCACTGAGCAGCTCTTTTCTCCCACCACACTTGGTGCTTGAGGAATACAGACCAACCCTGGTCAGAAACCCAGGCAGGACAGAGACCCTTTTAGTTCTGGTCTTCCCACTGCATTTCCAAGCCCTGTAACTGCAGCAATACGTGTCTCCTCACAATGGAGCCCTGTTTCACTCCCAGATTTTTCCTACCCTCACTTTCCCTCCTCATCTCTTCCCGTTTCTTCCCTCTGCTCTGCTTTACCCCATATAACCTTCATGTCCTTTGATCCTCCTGCTTCCTTTCTTCCTTTCCTCCATCTCCAGCCCTATTCCCCTTCTCACTGCTCTTGCTTCTCAGGCTCCCTCCCTTTATCACTGCAGCACCCACCTCTGGCCTGGGGAGAGAAGAAGCCCTGTCCTGGCTGCTCTCATCGATACCCCAGGGCCTGGCACAGCACCGATGCTCTCAATGAGCCTATTTACCACTCCCTCCTCAGTAGGTCAGTAATACTGACAGGGGATACACAGACCCTCACACAGGTAAGGTCTTGGTTTTCTGAGACAAGCCCACATCTCAAATGAACCTCCAGGAGAGGTGTTTGTCTTTTGATGGCTCTGTAATTACCAAGCTTACCAGTGCATGGTATAAATAATTCTCTTTATTGGCAAGTTTCAACTATGTGCTCAGCCTATACAAGACACAATGATGCAGAAAGTTCTTGTCCCAGATAAAAGAGAAACATGGAGGGAAATGGGAGCTAAAGGTAAAGGATAGAGAGAGTCATAGTTTTCAAGTATTACATTCCATTCTGTAGGTGTTACAAACAGGACTGAGGCTTAAAGGAGGATCTGAGTAAGACGGCAATAACCTGGAGACAAGATGTCTGCAGCTCTGGTGTTCTCCTGATCCCACCTGGGTTTTAGGGCATTCCCTGGCCCAGGTCTGACCATTGACAACAAGGATCCAACAGTGTGTCACTGTGAGGCCCTCAGAGACCAGAACCCTGTGGGCAGGGTTCTCTGGAGACCTTTTGCCTTCCGAATGCCATAAACTACAGGATCCACAGAGCGCTTGGGAATGGCCTTTGCTGAGGTAGTTTGTTGGCCAGGCAAGCCTAAGTGCCAAATGAATTAGCTGCACGACAGAACATCCTCCTCTTTCTCCAGGTTCCTGACTCTTGTACATACTCTCTGCAGTAACCCAGCAAGGCTGAACGTCAGAATCCCAAAGGGAGGACAAACGGAGGTGAAGAAGGGTCAAAACAGTTCTGGAAAGACACAACAGATTCTGCCCAAGGGGGCATGGTCCACAAGGAAGTGTAACACCAGTGTTTCAGTGGTTATCTGAGCAGCTCGCGGAGGGAGGCCCCAGTAAAAGAGTGAGTTTTGGTTTGACATCTCAATATGGTACCTTACAAACGTGTGATTAAAAACCACGCATTCGCCATCAGTGCTTCAGAAGCAAACAGAGGGCAGGGTGCAACCCAGCTGGGGGAAATGAGAAACATGCACTGCAAATTCACCACTGTTTTCTTTTGGATCCACATGGGAAGGATGCGGATTCCAGAGTTTACTCCCTGTATTAGTGAGGCTAAGAGGGAGGTTTCACTCTGGGTCCTCCTGAATGCTGGTTATGCTGCTTTTCAGGGTGGCTCTGCAATGGTACAGGGAAGAAGATGATTTGAAGCCAAGGAGGTCAGAATCGGGATTCATGTTTCTAGACAGCTGGAATACAGATTTGCTTTCTTAAGCCTGGTCAGCCAGGAAGGATAACATACAATATTGTGTTCCCTGCCCATAGCAAAACCATCAGATCTGTCCATAAATTATCACCTCTGCAGTTTCTAAGTTAGCAGCTTTTAATCCATATCCCCACCGGCACACACTTGCTGCAACAAAGCCCTTGTTTTGCTCAAGCAAACCATCAGTTCATCCTGCTAACATGGTAACTCCTGGCTAATGATGTCCTCCCAGAATCACCCTTGCTGCTCACCCTACCTGCCAATCAGTCAGCCCTAGAAGCATTGCCTTTGCTGGGCTTTGTGCAGCACTAAAACCACTGTTGGCCCCATGCAAAGGTCATGAGCTTACTAATGATAACACTAATTCTTCTCGCCAGGTCCCACGCTCCCTTTCCCACTCTGACCACAAGACACCTTTCCAGCTGGTTAAAGAAGAGATTGCAAGGAGAAGGGAAGATACCGCTTCTGCAATCCTTGCTCCATTTCTGAGCGAGGCAGCAGGGTGACTTCTTAAAGCCCTTAGCACTGGGCTCAGAGCCAAGACCGGCTCCAACACGAGCTTCCTCTGTGGTCTCATCTCCTCCTTTATAACAGAGACTTAAAAGCTACTTATTTCCCACCAATGACAGGCAATGACATAAGAATTAGTTAATATCTTGATGGTGACTTGGAAATGCAAAACACCACAGGTTTTATTACAAACTCACTCTGTATCAGGTATTACAGGAGCAAGAAAACAAACCGATGCAAACCCAGGAGACAAACTTGAGCTTTAAGCTGTCAAAGAGTTTAGATTTCTCCCTTGATTGGAACCTCTTACAACTGCCAGAAAACTCACATTTTCTTCTGTATTTAGCAAATGCCAATTCCCCTTCCACCCCATTGCTGCTAATTGGGCAGAGATAACCCCAAATCACTCCTGGCTATGTGGCAGCACCATTGCCAGTGGCAATGCTGGGAATGCTCCTTGCCTACTGACTGATACAGCTGCAGAGCCAGGAGGAAAAGCATCCAAACAGCCAGAGAGAGGCAGAACTAGCTAGTAGCATCAAAAAGCCTAAGTTAAAATCATTTCTCTGCCTGGCAATGATTAACTAAAGGCAACCTTTAACAGTCTGGAACACAAATGCTGTAACAAAAGGGACATAAACGTCTATACTTATCTATCTACTCTGATGCTGGAGACAAGCAGATGCCCCAGAAAAGCAGTAATTCCTGTTTCAACATCTCCTGGCTGGTTAACTGCACTCACATTTACATACAAATTTTGCTTCTATCCCTTCTTGAATTGGCAAATAAAACCAAAGGACTTTCCAGTCTCAGGCATAGCTGCTACCCCCAAATAGTGCAAGTGCTTCCAAGTGAGTTCAGAAGCTAACACCAGAAACAAGAACAGGAGAACCATCAAGACAGTGCACCTATCCCTACTGTCTCTTACCAGGAACATACTCGATGCTTCAGAAGATGGTGCTAAGAGTTACCCAAGTGGCCAACTACAGAGAACAACAACCTGGCCAAACAGGCAGTTTCTCCAGGCCATTAAGTCTCTGCGTTTCTACAGAAAGAAGGCTCAAATTCAGTTTGGCTTTTCTCTCCATGCCTTGAAATGCTCAGTCCTTTGTTTCAATGCTATGGGTTGCTGGCCCAGTGCTGCCTGCCCTATAGGAATGCCCCCCACTGGTGACTAAGTTGATGCAAGGCCATTTTTAGTTTGATCAGTTTTGACATCACCTGCCTGTCTCCCTGCCACTCGAGCTAACTTTGCCTTCCAGCCCTGCCAGCTCCAGAACTCAAACATCAAAAGACAGAGTCAAGGTTATCACAGGCTCAGCTAAAAACTGCACCTAAGAGTCACTTTCCCAACTACAGACAAATGTGAGAACTCGGGATATCAGTTCTGAGCTCAGGGCTGAAAATAGCGCACACTCCTACAGGAGGAGTAACAGTCCTTAAGGAGCAGAAGGGCATCCTAAAGGAGAGCGAAGAAAACAGCTCCAAGGATTCCACAGAAGCACACTTGGCTGTGGCAGCAAAGGCACTCTCTCAGGCTATGTAGTGTCTGGAGTATTCACTCCCTCTTGCTCAGAAATGCATCCTTGAAATCCAGGCTTTTCTATCTTCCACTAGGAACAGCCCTGCCTCGCCACCCAGTGCATGCTCTCAAGGGCACTACACCAGGGACTCACGTTGTGTCTGTAGTGGCTCAACTCTGCTCCTACTGGAAGTAAAGGGAATTTTCCCAGTCCTTCCAGTGGAAACAGGGTTTGCCCAAGTGTTTACACGCAGTAGTGACATGAGGCAGCTCTGGGACACAGCCCTAAGCGACCAGAACCTGCACTCTAAACTGAGACAGAGCCCATAATAGCAGGAAGCAAAAGGCAAGCTCTGCTATCCAGAGTGAAAAGATCGTACATAAGAGATGAGCTTAAACAACAGGATGTGACAGAAGGTGATTTCAGTCCAACCAACTCGCTGTCTCTCATTCTCAAGCTCTGATCAGTCCATACCACAGAACTATAAAAGCCTTACCCGAGCACACTGCCAAATGCTCTTCTCTGGGTTACAAACACAGGAAAGAATGGGGGAGAAATGGCAACAGCAGAGACAAGCCTGGCAGATCCTCCAGGTGGGGCGAGATCCAGCATAGCAGGATCGGATCCTCTTTAGAGTTTAGCCAGTGGCACGGATGGTATATAAGCTATGGAAACTGTCCCATTGGATTTTAAAACACAAACACAGCAGAATGTCATCATAAAGAAGCAAAGTCTGTGTTAAAAAATTCTAAGGACACAGCATTTTCTCCAGTTCTGACACCTTTTTAATAGAAATCACTTGTTTAGGAAACAAATAGCACTTTTGTATGTTTTTTTCTTTTTTTACAATGTTTCTTACCTTGATCTCATTTGAAGTAACACTAGGAAGACCTCAATAGCTTTTATTTTCCTTTTTAATTTAAAAAAGTTGTTTGTTTTTTTTTTCCCCCAGATACAAAGATTTTGCCCTTGCATAAAAAAACAGTGCCCAAAACGATGACACAAGGACTCACAAAGACTCACTGTATCTCACTGACACTATTACTTCTAATCTATACCATGCAAGGTCCCATCTACCTCTTTTATTAGACTGTCAGCCTGAAAAACAGCTTTTCTATTCCTTATTTAGTTCTTGTTACCAAAAGAAGAGAAAGGAAGTGAAAGAAAAGGACATTTCTCTGTTCAGTTCACACATCTGGGTCATGTGCTACTTTGTTCAGGATACCTTTGTTGTTTATAAATATAGAAAAGGGTTGGAATCTCATTTTCAAGTAATCGATGCACATTTTCTCTTGGGACACCTCCATCCAATGCTGACCCTGGATCCTGGCCCTCTTGTTTTCCCATTCCCAACATAGGCCTTCTGGATGAGTGTGAGGACCCAAACCAATTCTGCAAAGCATGTCTTGTTGTTTAATGTGAAGAATTAGGATTAACCCAAAACTGTTGGGACAGTAGATCCTCAGCCTGTGCATGTGCTGGTTACTCAGTGAAAAGTCCATCTCCTTTCCTTTTGTATATCTCCTGTCTAAACAATAGTAAATACTGCTTATTTGATAGACTTGTCCCTTCTGGGCACTGGGATTTGATAATTTATATTTCTGGTATTTTTTGGTTTAATAGTACTGAGAGTTTAGAAACAGGAAAAGCCCACAGGCTCTTTGGATTTGTTTTTGTTTTCCCCTAGCTAAACAAACTGTTCTGCAAATAAGGATTTGAAACCTGCTCTCCTCCCTCATCCCTGCTCCTCACCCCGAACAAAAATAAAACGAACCTATAGTGGCTGTGGAGGCTGCTGCAGGCACACACTGGTGTAAAATATAGAGAGAGTAAATATATTATTTCACTTGGCATGGTGCTGGCAAAGAACCCCCAGCTGGCACTATTCATGTAACATGATCCAAACTTTGCATGTACACACAGAATAAGAAGGATCAATTGGCAAACTCCGGTGCCGCCTGGCACAAGCATCTTCACGCTCTCTCTGGAACCAAAGAACTAAAGAATTCTGCACTTTCCAGAAGAAATCCAGTTTTGCTTTACTAGAGTTTTCGTTATTTTGCTCTTCCTCCTCGCCGCCACCTCCCTTGGCTCCTTCTTTAACTTCACTGTGTTATTTAGTCTCATCGCCCTTGTTACAGTTCACCATGCAGCTCTGGGAAGGGGAGGGGGCTAAGGTGGAGGTGGCAGCATTAGTATTGTTAGTGGAGTCCATGCCGTTGGAGATGGCTACTGAATTGACCTCAGAGTTTATGGGTTTTGAAAGGTCGATGCCTTGGATGAGGCGGATCAGCTGTTTTACCTTGTCCAAGGAGCTGTGCATCTCCTTTTGTTTTGCAAGGATGGTATTCTTCATTTCCATGCATTTCTGCAGTGAGACAGAAAAGTGGTAATAAGTTCAAGCTTACAAATAAAAGAAGGCAAAAGAAGGAATATGAGATTCAAAGATTTAAATCTTAAGCACAAAGAAAAGGCTGCAGCTACAATTCCACTTTCCCAGGCTAGAAGAAAAAGAATCTCAGGGCTGTGTTCACAAGAGAATTTGTATTTGCAAGCTGGTCTCACCTGGTATGGCCCCCTTTCATCCCAAGGTGTTCTGCAAATGAACACAGACAGCTCCATCCTTTTGTGTTCCTTCTGAAGGGAAACTTCCAATTATATGTTCTTACTATTTTTTCTATTAGTATTGCGTTGCTGAAATTTCTTTAGCTCAGATCTGCAAACTCAGGCATCCTCCTGCAGCTGACTGCTGACAGTGTGTGTACATCCTGCTAATGGATACAGCCTTTGCTTTCACATACATTTTAGGAGGAACATCACTTCCTCCTCTCAATAAATAAAGGGGCACTTGAAAAGAAAAACAAGCCCTTCCTCACTTGAAAACCTTATTTTGTGGCCACTTCTTTCTTTTAGAAGGGGTAGTAACCTAGCTAGCTCTTCAGGGAAGAGTCAGGGTAAGATAAAAAAGTTCACAAATGATGTTTCAAGGGTGAAAATCTGCTTGCATCTTGATTTTAAAACTCTCAGAAAGGAGGAGATGGTGTCTGTAACATGCAGGTTCTTACATAAAGATTGCAACCTTCCTGCATTTTTTAAACCTCTTCATGCTGATCTCCAGACCCTGTTGGTTTCAGCTTTACTATTTTCACCCACAGCTCATAGCTTCATAAAAATACCACAAAATGTAGAGCTAATGTGTCTTTTTGGACAGTTCCAATGAAAGTATAAAGAATAAATCGATCATACAAAATAAACCACTCTCCTTATCTACTGTTAATCCCTTGTGTTAAGGGCTTCCATCTGCCTGGGAACATCCCTGAGGAACAGTGTTGGTGCTCCAGGGCTGCTCAGCTTATGCCCAGCCACTGCTAACCAGAAGGTGACAGTCTCCAGAACTTCTACCCAGCACCTCTCACCACTTTTTTGCTCACAATCATTTTATTTGTATCCTCAGCATTTACGGGTCTATGAACATGGGACACTTTTGTTCTAACAGGCAAAGACAGACCAGAAAGCGCATCTGTATTTAAAAAGTCTGTACTCATGTATCCAGCCTTACAGATGTTGCCACATGAGAGACTGAAATGAACCGCTCCAACTTTACACTGGCAACTCAAGAGCCTGATTTACATATTAAGGTGAGAAGAGAGAGCAGTTTAAGACGTATACTCCAACTACTGTGATAAACCAAGGTGGAAACTACAACTTCTGGTTCAAATATGACATTATCTAATTAATATTATGCAGAGGCATGTACAGTGTCCAGCTGCTTACTGCCAAGGAAACACGGCAAGAGCCTGAAAGTCAGTCATGAGGAAATGGTCACTTCTGTATTAGCCAAGGTCTAGAAAGCACACCAAGACTGTAAATCTTATTACACACAGAAGCCCAACCATTGTTATTGAAGGAAGCCACTGGAGAATTTGACTTAATCTACTGCCCACAAATCATAGTGCTCTGGGCCATGTTTGTCACCTCCTGATATTTATAGGGCACTGTATGTACAATATATGGTCAGCATGGATCAGGTGTAAGTGACTCAGTATAAGTGTATGTGTCTGTATTTCATTCCTGCTCCCTGTCTTAAAAAGCAAAGGAAAGTGCTCACTCAATTCTCAGTAAATCCTGTGGAAGAAAGGTCTAGTACATGGAGTCACTCTACAGTTTTCCCTCTGCATTCTGGCACCAGAACTCAGGTGCAGGATTATTTGGGAGGGCAATACTCACCGTTATAGAATTGCTGAGCTGTTTGACCTTCTGCTCTAGTTGTTCTCTTTCCTGTTTTAAATCTGAACTCCATTTAAGTAGTTTCTGTTTTTCCTCTTCTTTTGCTGCAAAATGGAATATTAACCGGAGTATTTAAAATGTTCCTGTTACAATAGTGGGTAGAGGGTCTAAACTGCTTCATGTAAAGAGAGTAACTGTGTTTAAAGTCAATTCAATAATTTTTGTACTGAATCACCCCCCAAATTCCACCTACATACACAAACATCATTTGCTAAGAAGGCTTAACAAATATTTAGACTGCTATTTTCACTTTACTAGTGATTCAGGTTCTTTCCCTTTAATTTCCTTTTGTAAAGAAAGCACCATTTTACCCCATTCCTGACATAACATCTTCCATTATTAAAAGTGAAACAAAAGTGTTGTTCTCCATTTTCCTACCTGCTTTATATGCAATATATGAATGAACAATTGCTAAAGTTCCTGGCCATGGGATTGCTTCTTCCTTCTTTAGCATCTGAAAGAAAAGTGTTTAGAGATTTAGCTGGTACCTCCAAGAAAGCAAAAAGGAGAAAGATGGAAAGACTGAGGATTTTCTTTTATGGCTATCATTAGCCTCAGCCCCGTTGACATGAAGCTTCACAGACCTGTTCTGAGATTTAACAGAGGGAATTATTCACAACTGTATTGTGGCTGCCACAAAGCAGGCCTGTTTCTTACAAATGTCAGCATTTTCTCAAATTCCCTCCATAGCCACAGATAAAGTCTGCTAATGAAACTGAACAACTTAAAAGAGGGATGAAAAGATAACGTATCTGAACCCAAACCTGCCAGCAGACATAAACATTATTTCATGGTTCAGACAAATTGCTGATCTTAGGTGTTCTGGGACAAAAGTTTTCATGGTAGAGAACAGTCTCCACACCATACATTCTAACATCACGCTTCCTGGCTAGTAAAACACAAAACCTTCCTAACTTCTCTTCTTATCTGAATCATCTTAATAGAGTTGTCAAACTCTCTGTAAGGGGAAGCATCATCCTAACAAGCTTTATATTGAAAGGAAGGACACATATTTTTAATGACTGAATCAGAAGATAGAGGACTTGGTCACTTTACAGTGAAATTACTCAGATTTCCCCCACTAATTTTGTGTGAACCTATCACAGAAATATAAAGATGAGGGACAGATAAGGTGAGAGTGGGCAAGAGCAGGAGCGGGGAAGTGGTAACACTCCCTCCTCTCTTGTAACTACTGACCAAGTCACTTGAGTTTTGCATTTTCATGCTGCTGAACAGCAGGTCAGGCTGTTTTCTTACACTACCATCTGGCTAACTGAAGATCACGTGGGTGATGAAGCAATATGCTCTATTAGACAGAACACTAACAGCTTCAGGCTGATGATTATCAGCAATCCTTTGCAGCTTCTGCAGCTCCACTTAAGGGTTGGGAATACAATAGTTTACTTCTTTGTCATGTAATTTCAATGCATAAACAGAATGTGAAGATATAATCTGTTCGCTTCAGCTGTATACTTTCAGAGAGGGAGCTGGAAGGAAGAACCCCCAAACTGTTCACATATCCTCATTATACTGATGCCGGATGATATTATCAAAGACATCACTGAAGACAACCTCTCTGATGTTTGAGTTATATGAGCAAACAGGGGCTTATATTTGCTCTATCTACTGAGGTAGGATAGTGCAAATGTTTTATTTATTTGTCCAGAAGAATATACTAATAACTTTTGAAGAAACGAGCTTCAGATGAACAGCAAGAATTCTACGGGTCATAAAGAACCTTTCCCAAAAGCCTGCATGCTTTAGGCCAGAAAAAACACATGGGCAACACATAAAGACCCCACATGTGAGAGCAAGACCTAAGAGTTTTGTATCTGCATGCATTCCAATAGAGGTAATTTGATGAAATTCATATAAGCCTTATTACAGATCAAACTGATTTGCTCAGTGTCAGACTGCCCTGATCTAGGAAAGCCAAGGGATTTCTTTATTTTCTTTAACATCCCAAAATATTTGGAGTGCATTGTATACAACTCTCCCATTTGTCTGTCAAATAATACCTGGTCTTGACATTTGGGACAGATCCACATGCCCTTGGGAATGGTTTTCAGAGGTGGGTCCAGACAGTCCAGGTGATAAACACGTGAACATGTGTCACACATCAGCAACTGCCCGCTTTTTCTGCAAACACTGCAGAAATCCTCATGGATATCGCCCTGTGAAATTGAGGAGAAGGGATGTGGGGGAGAGAAAGAGAGAGAAAGCAAAAAATGAACTTTCACCTTTGACATCTACATCCCAGCTGAATGCAAAGTTTACAGCACAAACTGTTTCTAAGGGGATTCCAAATGGTCAAGCCCTTTCTAGGCTGTGGAACAGAAAAACCAGGCAGGATGTCGGAAACGCTGACATCTGTGCTCCCAAACACTCCCCCTGTCCTCCCAAGGCAAAATGTTACAGCAAACACTTATTACTACAGCTTCTCCTAACAGCTGCTACCCTGTAGCTTTTCTTCTTTAAGATTCCCTCTTTACCCTGCCTTTTTTCTTTGCCTAAAGTGATGAGCTACCCACTTTCTTAACCCTTCTCATTTCTGGATGTAAGCCCAACTCCACTTCAGGAATGCTGATGAGGCTGTCTCTTGCCAGTAATAATATGTAAGAAACCCCAACTGAGTGACTTAAAAGAACACTGTCAGATATTTAGGTCACCTTTAAAAAACTGGAAGGAAAAGGTGTTGTGCTTGTAAATGAAAGAGCAGCATGAATTATGCTCTGAGACAATTCTTTTTACTTCACTTAGGTACCTCAAGTCGCACCAAAAGAGGTGTGACTTGAAATTTTCTCATTCTCTATATAGAGTGGTTTATTTCATCACTAACAGAGGCTGAGAGCCAGGATGAAGGAACACCAAGAGAGGTTTTCTAAAGGGGTTTTTGAAAGGAAGAACTGAAAACATTACTGGCAGTGCCTCTTAAAAAAAAATGGATTTTGTTACTACTGCATCACTATCAGAGACAGTTTTTTATACAGCCATTAACTTCCCAGAAAGGCAAGTCTGTTTTTTGTCACTTTTTCTTCTCTCTCTCCTCCTGTTACTCCCACCTCATGCTTGGAGCAGTGGTGGTGTTTCTGTTTGGTTTTTGGATATTGGAACACAGAGGCGTGAAAGAAAGAGCTCAGCATCCACACAGGAGGAGAGGGGCACCTCAGCCCTCTCCTCTCCCTGCCTGTGGGCTGTCCTGGCAACCTGACATATTTGAGGCCCCACCTGGTCACTGACTTTGGTTCAAGTTTCACACACACACTGGATCTGCAAGATCATGATCTTAACACATGCAAATCAAACTGTGTATATATAGAATCACACAACCACAGAATAGTTTGGGCTGAAGGGACCTTAAATCTCATCCAGTTTCAATCCCCTGCCATGGGCAGGGACACCTTCCACTAGAGCAGCTTGCTCCAAGCCCCATCCAACCTTGAACACTGCCAGGGATGGGGCAGCCATAGCTTCTATACTCCCCCTGTATGAAATATCAACGTGTGCAAGGCTGCATTTTGCCCTGTATAATCTTTCCATGTATGTGAATAAGTTTTATCAATTTGGAGGGATAGCAGATTTGGCTGTGCACTTACACATTAAGATGCCAGGCAAGAAAAATGACACTAATCTCTACTATGGATAAAATATTAAACATATTAGAAGAATGACACACAAGCAATCTGCTCAGGTTTCTTCCTCCCAGCTCTATTGCTGATGAGGCCTTTCTTCAAAGGGAAGGCTATTCTTCTCTTAATTCCCAAGGTTAGCACTGATGTCATGTTTTGTAAAGGATTAATCTTCAGTGAATTTTCAGTGCCATGTTTTGGTTCCCTAACTCCCACGGATCACTGAGAACTGGGTTATGGTATTACTTCATCCTCTAACACCATGGAGTTCCTCATTGCTAAATGAAGAATTAAATAAGCGACACTTCATGCCTCTTCTGAAGTAATCTGTTTAACCAGGCTGGGAAGAACTGCTTTTCCTCTATCATGCATTCTGTGAGTATAAGGAAAAGGTGGCAGCAGGAGATGTTGTATAAGCTAAAACAAAATCCTCTGTAACCTAAGGACAAAATTAAGAGGAAAATTCTCACATTTTAGTAGAAAATCCTTGTTCTAGAGAATGAGATGTGTTAAGGTGGTTTGGTTGCACACACTACACAATGGAACTTGATGAGTGGCTCAGGTGCAAAACTATTGGTGTGTTGAAAACCAAACCTGTTTTGTCTAATACCCTGCAGAAGAGACTGACACAAGTGACACCTGCAGTTGCTTCTTGAGCGAATACATTCACAAATTTAGACCTGGAACCTCCTAAATTCAGCTGAATGCTGCAAAGCCTGAAGTGACACAGCTGGTCAGCATGCAGTGCGGCTGAATGTGCTGAGATGACCATAAAATCCACAGTCCTATTGGTAATGCAAAATTCAGGGCATTTCCTCAGAATTAGTAACTGGCCTCACTAAAATCCCAGCCACTGTTTTGATTCCGAAGAAATGTCCCTGGTTTTATGGGCAGTTAATAAATATATGCATAAAGGGGAGCTGGATTTGATGTCATGACATGCACCCCACTAATCCCCATGGCAGAGGGGTTGGAACTGGATGATCCTTAGGTCCTTTCCATCCCTAACCATTCTACGATTCTCTGAATCGCAGGTTCTGGACCAGCTCTGTGAAGTTAAAGCAGCCAACTTAGGCTAGAGCAGAGCTCACTGAAGCGGCTCTATCACATGCCACAGGCTGAAGAGCAATTTCAGAACAGAGACTGCAAAAGGTGATTTAACGTCACGTTTTGCTCTACTTCCTCTGCACCAACAGACCAGGAAAATAAATGATAGCTTTTTGGACAGCTAACAGTTTTCTTCACTTTTATAAATGTCTAAAACAGCAGGGTCTGGCTTTAGGCAGTAGAACTGAGTAATACAGTATCAAATCAGAAGTATATGTAGGTTTTGTGCTTGAATATGTAATATCTATACTTACAGAATCATAGTATCATTGAACAGTTTGGTCTGGAAAGGACCTTAAGATCACCTAGTTACAAGCCCCTGCCATGGGCAGGGATGTCATGTCACCCAAGGCTCTGTCCAACCTGGCCTTGAACACTGCCAGGGATGGAGCATACTTGTATGTACATTTCACTGGAACAACATGGGAAAACTAAATACTCTGCATCAGGAATTGTTCATGACCATATAACTAGAGATGATCACAGTGTATGATATAAATGAATTATGAGTAGCAATAATAATTCTGGTTTTTCCTAACTCTGCAATAATGACTTTACAATCTGAATGTTCTCCAAAGTTCCTCTCAATTAAAACATTGTTTTGATAGAAAAAGTTTACTAATAAAAGGCATTCTGCGACCACAGACGAACCATCACTGGAATAGAGATCTCTGCTACTATTGTGTGAGGGACAATCACACACAACCAAGTGGTTCACAGGAAATTGCCAGATGGAGAAAAGAAAGAAAAAGAGCCGTGTGTGTGTGTGTGTGTGTGTGTGTGTGAAAAGAAGTCCTGGTCATTACTTCCCAGGTTTTATTCCCACTTTCTACCCCTCCATCCTTATCACCAACCCAATCTCAAGTTCCTGTTTCATTCTCCCTTCAAAATTCAGCCCTGTCATTCAGAGACTGACAATTCAGGAGAAAGGCAGGAAGTCTGTACTGAGCCACGGTGCCAAGTGCTTGCCCTGAGTTGTAATTTTCATAGGCTGCTAAAGACAAAAGATTACTCAAGAGCTAAACATCAAATGTCCATTCAAAAGCCTCTATGAATTAGATCTTCTTAGCAAATTAATGCAAAAAGACTTAAAGATGGACAAGCTGCAGTTTTCTTTTATATCTGAGGAACAGCTCAACTGTTTTAACTGAGACTTCTGAAATAGCCAACTTAGACATGCACTTGTCATGTTTTCATTTTAAGTCTCCAGAAGCTGGAGGCTGTAACTACAGAAATTGTCTGTCCCATCAAGAATAAATAGATCTTTCTATATTCACATCATCTGCTAACAGTGTACAGCCTCTTCAACATGACATGGACTGTCCTCACCACTGAAAGAAACAATCCTGCCATCTCTATATGCCCAGACACTCATTTGTGCCCCTGCATGAGGCTGGCACAAGAACCTGTGTGTCTATAAAATTAACTGTATTAGGGCATAATCTTGGCTAAGACTAACAATTTTTAGCTATGCCAGTTCCCTTATGCAGATTACAATGTGGCCTCAGATAGATCTGTGCTGGAACACAGAAGACACTTAGGGGCTAAGAAAAGACTGCTGGTGACAGTCAGGACAGCTCTTCTCAGTGACTGCACCAGTCATAAACTGTGGCATGAGCATTTCAGTGTATTCTGTATTCTATATCTAATTAAGCTGCAAGATCATTAAATGCCAAGACCCAATTCTGCCTTTTGCCTTCACCTCCAGCACAACTCATATTGTTGGTGTTTAAATATACAGTCCTTTCCCAGCATTACAGAGCACTTTTCCAGCCAAGGATGCTAAAGGTTTTTACAAGTACTGCTAAGTTCTCAAAACACAGATGGGAAAAGGAGGAACCATGCCAAATGTGTAAGTGAGGGAAGCCAAATCACAAAACAGGGATGTGAATGCACAAGCTTGTACAGCAACTTTATGACAGCATATTAACAGAAAACTACCTTCTAGCTCATAATGGCAATGGGAAACCACTTCTCTCTTTATGATTAGTAAGTAAAAATTGGAACGTGTAATGACAGAAGATCTCATATTTACTCCCTTTCCAATATTTTTGCTCTTTCTGCAGGTTCAAATTTTAATAATCTATTTTTAATAAAAAAAAACAATTAATGAGCACTTTGAGCTATATTTTCTACTTTTACATGTATTTTATATGGAATTCAATCTCAAATATTTCTGAAAAGTCTACCAAATTAGGCCAACTGATAGAAAATATGCACTGAATGTGACTTTGGGATAAAACTCTTTCTAAGCGTTAAACCCACAAGAATGGCAGTGCTGTTGCATCTTTCTAAGAAAAACTACATGACTTGTCTGTAAACATGTCAGAGATTTACACATGATTCTAAAGGGGAAAGAGTGCTACTGTGTTATATTAGAATATCCTCAGGTAAGAGGGAATGTTAATTACCTGCTATTTAATCTTCCATTGTCTCCTTTAAAAGACTTCTTAATGACTATTATAGCAAACCAGAGCCTAGGCCTAAGTACTATCCAAATTCAGGGCATTCAGAACTAGATTTGAATGCTACAGAAATTCACTACCCTTGATGTATCTTGCTGCTATCAAGCATGGCAGAAAACAGGGCAACACCTCATTATAGTGTTTTGACTGTTTGCACACAGTGGGGAAAGACTCCCAAGTCAGAGATGGAGAAGACCCCCACCACATCATCCAGTCCTTTTCTTGGGGCCTATGTAACAAATGTGCTCTCCAGCATGTCTGCTAGCTGTTTGTACTGCTTACTCTCATCTCCAGAGTTGGAGCTCCCGCACCTTCTCCCTGAGGGGCTGTTCCATAGTCTCATTCATTTGACTGTCAGGAAAGGGTTTTTACAGTCAAGTGCTATTCTGCTCTCAAAAATGACTATATAAAAGAGAAGCTTTTAATTTCACATACATATTCCCTGGGTATCAGAACTGCATCTATTTATTTCAGTGACTCAGATACACTTGTACAATTTCTATTCCTGTTACCTCTGCAAAACAAATACAGCTCAAAAGAAGCTGGCTTTTATTCCCTATTGCATGTGGCCAGCAGAGCTGGTGTCTCAGTCTGTGTATTTACAGTGGTGCAAGTGCATAGATAAAAATAGAGAGATTAGCCCACCTCTTTCTTAAAGCCCATTTCAAATGGTTTGGCCTCAATTATATGGAATAATATGTTTAAAAAAGGGGGGGGGATATGACTCTGACTCAGATTGCAGAAGGAGTTTGGAGCACTGGTATGAATAAATACACAATCACCATTTTATTTTTAAACTGTGCCCACAAGCACCTTACTGGAAGTACACAACTCCAGAGGATTTGTGTGCAATGAATCCTTTCACCCATACTCAAGTCACAATACACTTTCAGACAAATAGTGTCTGTCCCTCCTTTATGTCATTTTGGACCTACACAGTGACTCAGTCCAATTCTTCCCACACAACTTTATCCTCTAAAGTTTATGACCTTTAATCTTTTTCATCATGTTTTTGCAAGAAACAGAAACAATGAAATAACCAGACAGTTCTCAGAGACTTCAAAAATGTGCTTTGAGTAACAAATCTTAACTTTGAATTAACTTAAGGACACTCACTTCCTTATGAATTGTAATGATAAGACCAGACTGCACTCCAGACAGATTTTGTGATCCAACCACAGGGGTGATGTATTTAGCTACACCAGCACACCAGAACTGCCAAATCAGTGCTGCTCCTGGCTGCTGTGCATGACCCAAGCAGTTTCCCTCCTTCTCTCATTACAGAAACATCACAACTTTTGTTATGAGGGTCTGTAAGCAATACTTTTCATTTTCCCCTTCCCCCTTTTTCATGGATGACAGATTCGATTCAGTTTGACAAGATCTCACACAGTGCACAAAGGAACTGAACTCATCTAGATTGCCTGGTGTTTCCCAGTGTTTCAATCCACTGAAGGATTATAAATACAGGACAAGAACATAGGTGCAGGAGCAGAAGGGGAAGGTGTTAAAAGAACGCTGGATGGTTTCACTACGCTGAATCAGGACAAATGCTGAGTGAGCCCAAAGAAACAAAATCTGTGACCATTTTCCTTGTGGCTGTTTCTACTTTGTAAAAGTAACCCCCTTCCCAAGAGTTACTTACGTCTGTGGAGCTGGGGCTAGGCAGGGACACAGGCTGAACAGCTGCGGGAAAGGTAAATGTGGTCTCTGTCTTTTCATTTTCGGGGGAGTCAGGATAACTGGACAGAGGGGATGTGGGGGTCAAAGCCCCGAACCCCAGCACCGTGTTGTATTTAGGTGGACGACCTACACATTAACAACAGGGAACACACAAAAAAAGAAAAAAAGAAAAAAAAAAGAAAGGAAAAATGATCTTACATACCTTTGGCCAGTGGTCCTCATTGGCTAGCGTGAAAAAGGAAATGATGTAGCACAGAGAGGAAGTTAATATAAAGGTTACAAGGGGAAGGACAGAAGCAAAGATTTAAACATTTCTTTTTTAGAAATCTTTTAAGTAGATTTTGCAAGGAAAGAACACTTAAAAGATGTATTTCAGAAGGAAACAGAAATAAACTCTGTAGAGGGTCAAAGAATCACTGCCACGAAAGCAGCGTGGGGACACTTGCCACTCTTAGAAATGAGGCTATTCAGTTTTTAGGGGAAACATGTTGGCATCAAAGCTAGAGAGAAGCTACAATACCTACTACTAAATCCCTTCTACTGCTACCCCACACTTCCCTATCTTTCTAGTGCCAGCATAAATCTACACAAAGGTTAAGTCCTTTATCAGAGGCCAGCACTCACCAACCCTCTCCTTTTCCTCTCCTTTTTTTAAAGCCACTCACCCACAGCACTTTCTACCCTACTGTATATTTTCTTAAATTAGTCTCCTGTTGTCTGACCTGTAACTACCACCAGCTGTAACCTACAACTTGGCTTCTACTGTAACCCCCCCCAGATTATCTCTCTTTCTCAGACTTTCTCAGTTGAAGTATGTTTGATCATGCACAACTCCTATGCAGTCCTTTAGACGAGCAGAAGTGCAAAATGTGTCTATAACCACTTTCATAAAACTATGTCTGCAAAGCAGCACAGCAAAAACCCCCAGTACGTAACCATCGATTCTGCTCCCTTCTCCAGGGTAATTTATGGATATGTAAACATAAAGGAGTTAGAATCTAGAAATAATTCCCCAGACTTATGTTTACAGATTGTCAGTCTATACCTATTAACATGCTAGACCTTGCATTTAAGGTCTGGATATGTTCCAGAACTAAGTATGTCCTTGGAAATGGATTTCTGATAGTGATGCCCATGGATGAAATTTCTGACATGCTCAGCACCACCTAGAATTAAACTAAAGCTCTCAAGGGCACATGCTTGCATAAGCTTTTCACTTCATATATTGCTATCCCAAATCACAAAACAAATGTATACACCCAAATCTTTTGTCAACTGAAAACGTGTGCTACTAATTTGGTGCTGATGCAAGGTACAGGCTCACAACAGGGTGTGAGGAAAAAAAGAAAGTATAATAGCAGTCAGTATGCAAAAACAGGCTAAGAGAGCATCAAGTACAAAAGCATGCAATTGTTTTCATTGATATAGTAATTGTTCACAATGATTTATAAAACAGAATTAAGAAATCATCACTAGAAGAAGGAACATTTACTTATCCACAGAGTAAATGCAAACCCCTCTCAAATCTACCTCACATCATTTTAAAAAATACATTTAATGTTATTAGGGGATGGCAGTAGAGACTGGTGTCCTTTATTTAAAAACAGCAGAGCTGCAGAAGTGTCAGATTTGCCACATTGCCTGCTGGACTGAACAGGCGTATCAAGCAGAGCGTATGTCAAATGAATATTTGACCTTGCAGCCAAATCCCAAAGATAATGGAAGTGGTCAGTGTCAGGTAGGACTGTGGGGTTTTTAATCTGATTGATTACTCTTTTTTACGCAGCAAATTCATGAGTAGAGAGGTATCATGAGTCTTTCAGGAGTGCAGAAAATCATCAATACCAGGGACAGACTGTCATATATGTGCGGCTGATGCCATGCACAAAAAATGGTACGCTCTCTCCTCTGCTGTTCTGACTCATCTCTTTGACCATAATCTAAGTCCTAAAATTTCACGTGTTCTACAGAAGGATTTCTACTGAATAATAGTGCACACCTATATGAAAGGTCATCTCTCATTTTAGGACAAGTGGCACTCTGGTTACAGAAAAGTGCTCAGTATAAGCACAACAGCCTTTCTTGATCAAAATACATTCTTTTGAAGGACCCCTCTCTACTCCCAGTAGGGAACAAGTCTTTTGTCACACTAAGTTTCCTCTCCACAGACACTTTTTCCATAACCACCTTCTTCTTGACAGTAACAATACAATCTAGTTATTAACAAGAGGATCTTGACAGCGGCTTTATACCACTAAATGATGTTCAAACATCTTACCTTTCACTTTGCTCTGTTGTTTTGGTTTTTTGGGTTGGGTTTTTTTGAGAGAGAGAAACTGAAATGAAACCTTGAGCTGTCAAAGAAAACCAGCTATGCTAATCCCTAGAAGCCATGATTTTTGTCTACCAAAAAAGTACTAGAGGGTCCTTCTTTGTTTTGCTCTTCAAACCAACAAGAGCACTGCAAACATAAGATGGAAGAAGAGGCATACAACAGGGAGACAGGTCTAAGTATACCTCACCTCTTTTACGTGTCCCAGGATGCATTGTGCTGTTCAGGTACGTGACTGCACTCTTCTTGCGCTGCAGGGAAGAATATGGCAATTTATGTTGGCTACCATTTTTAGGCAACAACTCTATGCAACAGAGGAATTGAGGAACAGCACAGTAGTACTAGGTGAGATTACTGGCTCTTCTGTTTTCTGAAGCGCAGTTTCAGAAAGGCTAGGTTTTTTACACTGCTTCTGACATCTGGATTGCTTCAGGCTTATACACAAGCTGACCTAATGGTAAAAGTAACACACACTACCATTTAACAGCAGCTTTACATAGGAGAAGGCAGGAAAAGAATATCCCAGTGTATCTACTAATGTAAAATCTGAAGGTTATATCATTGCAATGGCCTTCTGAATTACAAATGATATTTATATATTGCCTGTCTAGTTAGAACTGAGATAGCTTAGGAGGTAGTGCCCTGGTTTCGGCTGGGACAGAGTTAATTTTCTTCCCAGCAACTTGGCAAAAAGACACACAAACTCAGAATGAAAATATCAGCTTCCCCCAGCAAAAAATTAATACCTCAGGCTCAAAGACTGCTCCACTGTACACTGGATTTGCTGTTGTTCTTCTTTTCCTCTCTTGTCGCTTACTTTGGATTTCTTGTAAAACAAAGCATTCAGGTTAGAAAACAATGGGTCTCTGAAATTATATGAAGTCCTTAGAGTTCAGTTTGCATGTGAGGAGAGCTGTGAAGGTTTCTACAGAACACATGCTGAATATAGGTAACTTTGGTGTACTTCTAATTTCTAAAGGTTTGAAAACTAAGAGTTTATCAGGAATACAGATACAGTGCTCAACAAACTAATGAAATAATTGCCATCTTCTTGCCAACCATGACTAAGACATTTTTAACTCATGGTCAGTGTAATTGTGATTTAAAAATCAAAAGCCTCTGGCAACACTGTTGAAGCTTAAGAATAAATGCAGTACAGAAACATGCAAGCCATTGAAATGTTAGGCTGTACTTTACTGTATAGGATTAAGGAGTTCAAATTCTAAACCAAATTATAATCTATTAACTCATTCAGTACAGATTTACAGTCCCATGAAATCATCCCTGGGGTAACTTTGCAGCTGCAGGGGTTTCCCAGAAAGCAATGGGATTGTCACAAATCTCTTTCCTTCCACTGGAGGATACACCACTTTCTTTACAACCACTGGTCTCCACTGCATAAGTAACTGCTTTGTTTCAATGTAATAAGAGGAATAAAAAGTTATGCCCAACAAACTAAGTTAGACTCAGACTACAGATATCTGGAATGTGCTATATATATTGCAGTTAATCCAATTCAGAATGACCAGGAAACAGGGAGTTCAAGAACCAATTTAAGACATTTTCCTACCTTCCAGATGGTCATGAGTAACTAGTCCCAGAGACACCATGAAGGCAAGTTTCTGTGAGGGGGTAGAGAAAAAGATCATGACAAGTCCAACCATTAGGGTAAGGTATGTCACTTAGCCCCTTTAAATTCAGTTGACAGGTATCTAAACAGCAATAATGTAATTAGGAATACTTTGTTTCTATAAATCACTGATTATTCAGATGTCAAACTGCTTTACAAAGGATAGGAAATTGTCCTGTTTTATAGATGGGAACTTAGGCTGAGACACAGGCAAATGCCAACAGGGCATGATCAACAAGCTGGCAGAGCTGGGAACAAGAAATCTGGTCCTTTACTTAATGCTCACACAGTAGTCTGCTGGAATCCATCTACAAAACCAAATGCAGTAGAGCACTTAGTTTAGTCCATTCCAAAGCTTTGAATGCTGGAAAGGCTTTAAGAAATAGCCATTCTGGCCACTCTTTCCCCCCTGAAAACAACCAGACCTAAACTAGAATAAAACCCAGGCAGAACATGAACATACATGACTCTTTCCATCTTGCTCACCAAAACAAAAGCATTTTATAAAGCAAAATAAATGCAGCATTAAAAACAACTCCAGAAGTCTAAAATCTCAAGGAATGGAAATCAACACTGTAAACTACACCTCCTGGTTGAAGGAAGAATGCCAGATGCATTCCAAGACCGAAAATTACATGTATTTATATTTCTTATTCTGTAGCCTTATCAATTACTGCTGTCCAACAGGAATGTATGGAATGTTAAAGTTAAGGAGTCTTGAGGGAACAGAGGGGGAAAAATATTCTCTGAAGGACAGAGTGTTTCCTTTATAAAAGAAAGCTCTGGGTGTGTTCTGATACCTGTGGGTTTTCTTCTCGTTTTGGCTTCGGTGCAGCAGGTGGAGTAACTGTACGACTTTCTGTTTGCTTCTCTTCTGCTTCCACATGTGGTTTAATAGTCTGAAAAGGAAGTGTTTCATTCAGTGATAAGGATGACTACTTTGACTAATAAAGAAAAACAAATACTTTTGCAGATAGAGAAGAAAACCAGGTTAAAGGCGGTGGTGTACTAACAAAGACTCAACTGAAGAATCTGACATGAGAGGAACGTTAAATAAGGTGTTTTCTTTTAACACAGGATGAAACACCCTTCTCTAAACTCATGCAGCCACACAAGCAATAGAAGTAACCTTAAGAGTTAACTCCATTACTATACAGTATGGGAAATCTTATCAAACACTTCAAGAGAAATCACCCCATGGAAGACCCCCAGGTAGAAACCATTCTGCACGGCACAAGCAATTTCTAGTTCTCACTCCTCAGTCTTCATATTTCAGAGTTATGAATGGCTTCAAACCTTGCTGACTCCTACGATCTCAGATGTTTCTAAAGCTTTTTTCTTTTCTGAAGTCTGCAACGGTATCACCAACCCTGCATGACAATCAACCCGCAGCCCACGGCACAGCTGCTGAGGCTGCAAGCTGAGTGAGGTAAGCTACAAACTTTTCTCCTTTATGATAAGGAGAAAATATACAGAAAAACTGATGTATTATTAAGCCACCACCATTCGTCATTATGTTCTTCAACAGCTGAATTGCCAGTAATTATTTGAAGAGCAAATGAATATTGCTGACATCAAAAGGAATAGGCATCAAAAGTACAGTATTGTAGAAGTACAACTTTAGATCACACTAAAAGGGCACACATTGCTGAGTGACTTGTGGAACAGCGCGGGGGTATGCAAGAACCTACTCAGGAGAATTCATAAGCAGAACTGAGCACGAGCATTTCTTTCATGCCCATGCTTATCAGTCTCCATAGGTGACTTCAAAAGCAGAAGGCTAACTTTAAGGCACATTAGTCTATGAAAGAGTTATAACTGAAATATACACTATTATTATTTATCTAAATTACACAAATATTATATGTTATAATGTGTTATATAGTACACAATATTACAGTATTACTAACAGGCCAGGTTGGATGGGGCTTTGAGCAACCTGGTCTAATGGAAGGCGTCCCTGCCCATGGCAGGGGTTGGAGCTGGATGAGCTTTAAGGTCCCTTCTAACACAAACCAATCTATGATTCATTCTATGATTTTACACCTTAACATGCTTGTGAGGTGGGCTGATGCCAACCTCATGAAGTTTAACCATGACAAGTGCAAGATCCTACACCTGGGTCGGAGCAATCCCAGGCACAGCTACAGGTTGGGCAGAGAAGAGATTCAGAGCAGCCCTGTGGAGAAGGACTTGGGGGTGTTGGTTGATGAGAAAATGAACATGGGCCGGCTTCAGTGTGCACTTGCAGCCCAGAAAGCCAACTGTATCCTGGGCTGCATCAAAAGGAGCGTGACCAGCAGGTCAAAGGAGGTGATCCTGCCCCTCTACTCTGCTCTTGTGAGACCTCACTTGGAGCATTGTGCACAGTTCTGGTGTCCTCAACATAAAAAGGACATGGAACTGTTGGAGCAAGTTTAGAGGAGGCCACGAGGATGATCAGGGGACTGGAGCACCTCCCGTATGAAGACAGGCTGAGGAAGTTGGGGCTGTTCAGCCTGGAGAAGAGAAGGCTGCGTGGAGACCCCATAGCAGCCTTCCAGTATCTGAAAGGGGCCTATAGGGATGCTGGAGAGGGACTCTTCATTAGGGACTGTAGTGACAGGACAAGGGGTAACGGGTTAAAACTTAAACAGGGGAAATTTAGACTGGATATAAGAAGGAAATTCTTTCCTGTTAGGGTGCTGAGGCACTGAAATGGGTTGCCCAGGGAGGTTGTGAATGCTCCATCCCTGGCAGTGTTCAAGACCAGGTTGGACGAGGCCTTGGGTGATATGATTTAGTGTAAGATGTCCCTGCCCATGGCAGGGGGGTTGCAACTGGATGATCTTAAGGTCCTTTCCAACCCTAACTATTCTGTGATTCTATGATATTATACATGAAAGAGTTAAAAGTGAAACAGAAGACTGCTTTACTTGAACTGAATGGCAAGGACTGTCAGTTGCAATCCACACTAGCTTAAGTAATGTCTTATTTTTAAAAAGTCTTTCCTGGAGAGAGACTTTAGAACTAAACATCTAGAATTCTCTACTTCTAAGGGTCTCCTTTCCACTCAATCAGTACAATTTAGTCACAGGGAACTATCAGTCTTCAGAAGCTGAGTGAGGCTATTTTGCCTCCAATCACAAGACTACAAGATCAAGGAAGGAGTTACTATTGCATTAAATACCTCTACAGTTCTGTGTAATTTTTGCCTTTCACGCAGCCACCCTTTGATAAAACAGAAACACAGAAAATATTGTTCCAGTGTTTCCTAAGGGCTTGATAGAACATGGTGTTCAGTTTGCACTTGGTCTCCAAGATATCAGTGCAGCCCTGCAATGTAGCTTGCTTATCAACTACTGACGTTAAGACAGTAGGGGGAGCGTAAAAACACTGAAGCATGAGAAAAAGATTCCAATGGCCCGTATTAAAGAAAATGGTAACTTCTACCCCAAGAACTGCAGGACATTCCATAATTTGCACTGTTGTTGGAACATGAATATCTCCACTACATGGTTGTTAATCCTCTCCAAACCAGCACAGTAAAGTAATAAAGCAAAAAGTATGCTTCATTAGTGCATGCTTTCTGATCTGTACCTGTTTTTCAACGTTTGGTTTGCTGATCTGTACAGTCTGAGGTCCAGCAAGCCTGGTACCCGGTGCTGCTATCACGATGCTGGTGAGCTGTGCCATAGGGAAGGTTTTGGCTATGGTTGCTGTCTGCCCGTTAACTACACGTACAGGATGTATTGAGTTCTGAGAGTTGGGTAACGAGGTGGGTGTGAACTTTGTTGTCAGCATCACAGGTCTCTGAATAAGCTGGGGAGCTGCAAGCATTGGAGGAGGTGCTGGGGCAATAGGAATGTTATTCTGGGCAACTGGTTTAGGTCGAACCTACAAAAAAAGAGATTAAAAAGAGAGATTTTAATATATCATTATTCCAGGTTAACTTTTTTACTAATTCTTTTAATTCAGCCTGTATTTATAGAATGTTACTTTATTTTTTTACAGAATGTAATTTTTAGCGTAGTGTCCTAAGCATATTATGAGAAGGAAAAGCCACATTTTCAAACCTACTTGCATAAACCCATCTGCATATGGAGTCACTGTCCCTGAAATGGTATCTGGATGCATAGACACTTATATTGCATGTTCATTGCCCTGTGCCTGTTGTTGTTGCCCTACCTGTATCTAAATCTACATATTGGTTCTGCAAGCCAAAACATTCATGTCATATTTACAGGCAAAACTGAGGCTTTCCTGTTCAAAGTGTGTTTCAGGGCTTTCTACTGAGCCTCCAAGAAATCATGAACAGTTGATTGTGCCCTGAAAGAAATAGTAATTTTTTTCAGCAAATACCTGTTACCTTTGTCAACTCTATACATTATTTAGACACCTGCACAACCAATCTTGCTAAGCAACAAAATTGTCAAGATTATACGTTAATCCATCATGGAAAGTGCTAAGAGCTACAGGTAAATGCAGTCATTGCTCTTTTCTTCTTTCAGAAGAAAGAAAAGAGCCACAAGAATCTTCCAATACTCCACCACTAATACTTCCTTATTTCTTACCCATTGTTACGTTTGTACTTATCACATCATTACAGAGAACAGAAGTAGAATACATTACTCTGAAAAGAAAGTCTTTTTCCTCATTTGATTCCTGTTGTCCTATCCACCTTTAATACTCCATAATGCATTTTATCATGGGAAACTAGGTCACATTTCAACAGCTCTTACCACCCCCAAATCTTCATCAGATACCAGCCTGTATTTTCCTTTTTCCTTTTGTAAAAGATTTAGACTTTTATTCACAGCACCACATTATTTCTTCTCAGTAGTTCCTCCCTATGTTTTTTTCAATGAAGAAGCAATCCATGTCTTTCCCAAACCATGAAAAACAAGTAAACCGCAAGTTTCACTGCTCAGCTGCAAACAGAAGTCACTCTCTGTTGCAACACAGAAATATTTGGGAACAATCTAGAGACATCTTCTTTTTCCTTCTTTGCTCATTAGCTGAAAGCAACAATTACAGCAATTTAAGGCCTTGGGTGATGCTTTGATTTTGACACCAGTTCTGAGAGTTCATTTTGTTTGGTGTAAACAGGATCATATGTGATCATCATACACAAATTTCATAATCACAGACTCATGGAGGTTGGGAGGCAGCTCAGGAGGTCTTCAATTTGACCTCTTGCTCAGATCAGGGCCAACACTAAATGCAGACCAGGTTTTGGTGAGGGTTTTGTCCAGACAGCTCTTATAAACTCCAAAGATGGAGCTTCCACAAAGGCTCTGGGAAGCCTCTTAAACTCCTGATTGTCATCAAAGAGAGAAATTTTTCCTTATCCATGTCTAAACCTTTTCTGTTCCAGTTTATGATCACTGTGTATAATTCTACCAAGCACGTATGTCTCCATCTTCTTGTTAATTCCCTTGCTGATACTGGAAATAAGGCTGCCCCCAAAATCTCCTTTCCAAACTGAACAAGCCTAGATCCTTCAGACTTCCCTTTGCAGGTTTTATATTCCAGTTGTGTCCCCATCCCCTGTGTCCCTGCCAGCTATTTTAGAGGCTTCCCTTCCCCGGATTCATTCATATTTTTCAACTAGGGGGTCCAAAATTACATGCTGCGTATCAGAGCCAGGTTTATGATGGCTGAGGACAGGTAGATAATCTGTTCCCTTAACCTAATGGTTGTGGTCCTGTTGGTACAGCTCAGTATGCTTCTAGGCTTCATTGTTGCCAGGGCACACCTCTCGCTTGGCTACTGTCAACAAAGACATTTGAAGGAGTACTGCTCCCCAGCCAGCCAGTCTATGCAGGGGGTTAGTCCATTCCAGATGCAAGACTGCCCTTTCCCATGCTGAAACTCAAGAGATTCCTGCTGGCCCATTCCTCTGCCCTGTCTAGAGGCCTCTGAATGTCAGCACTGCTCTCAAGAGTACTGTCTGGAACCTCAAATGTGGCATCATCTGCAAACCTGTTGAGGATGAATTGCCTCCTTCACTGGGTCACCAAGAAACACTAACAGAAATCATATTCATAGAATGCATCTCCCATCTATGCTGTAATTGAATTCCTTCTCTTGCTTATTCTCTTGACACTCACTTGTGGAAGAAAATTTGGACGAGGAGTAAGTCTGGGAGGAGGGATGAACTGCGGCACTTTTATGGGCTGAGGCGTAGCCTGAACCTGCTAGAAGAACATAAGAGAGTTCAGAAAGCAAAATAGCTTTGAAGTTGTTCATCAAAATCATTATCCTGAATGCATTTTCAGACCTCATGTCCCTGCTTTTTCACTCTGTGAACAATTTTTCATAGTAACAGGTTACTCATTAGAAATATATCAGAGACAGCTAAATTTACTTAAACCTTGCTTCACAAATTGCAGGTATCTTCCCTTGTAGTTCAACTGTACTAGCTACTGTGCTCTGTGACCTATAACCATTTCATCTGAATACAATGAAAAATCCTATTTGTTTTAATAGTTAAAAAATGGCTTTAGAACAGATGGAAAATCATAGCAGACTTTGATGTCCAGCTATACGAACCACTCTCCTTTTATACTGAACAGCATACAGAAGAATGAAAGAGCGTCTCATGCAAACAGAAAAGATCTGGAAGTTCCAACTCTTTTAGCAATGTTATCCACACTATGAAGGGCTCTAAACACACAACTTGAAAGTCTCAGAATTAGGCCATTTATATGAAACACTAAGATCTGACTTTAAGGCATCCCTTAAAATCAGTACTAGACTACCTAAGCACTTCCCTGTCTCACCAAAATCAGCTGGATGGAGCTGCCACACGATTAACCACTGAATAGCATTATTAGGTATACCCTAAATTGAGTAGCTGGTGAGATTCTCTGAAATTGATGCCCTGTTAGTTTCCATCCTTCTGTACTTCTATCTACACAGGTAAGATTGCAATTTACTTCAAAAGGTCTTGTACTGAATAATGCTTGCTAAAATATGATGAAATCTGCTACAGAAACATAAATCATGGACTGTTATTAAATAAGATTCACCTCCCCAAACCTATGTTATTCAGCAAAGAAATGAAGCACAGACACAAAGGACAGATGAGAGTGGTGCAAGGGATGACATGGGAAAAGAGAACAGTAAAAAAAACTCCACTCAGTCTCTTCTATTCTGATTGCAAACATCTGCCTCACTAGGAAGCAAAATTCCTTCCATATGTATTATTAAACTCTATTTTTTAATAAAGATAGTTTGGATTTATGTTTAGTGAAACCTTAGCCTTTACTCCAGAAGTAAAATCTCCCTGTCACGATGCTATACAATGTCTGGTTTCCAGACCAAGAAGCCTATATAACCCAATCCTAAAACATTGCTTCTTTTATTTCTAGGTGGCTAACTATTCTGCAAAAGGGTGTGCAGTGTAATCAAAGCACTTTCCAAAATATATGCTTAAAGAAGAGGATCTGTATATATGTATGGAAAAATGGTGAGTGAAGACATGGTAGTGGGCAGAGTTAAGAGATGTGTTTAACATCAGGGACTTTATCACGCAAGGGAATGAGAGAGATTGCCTCAAAAAAATCTAAGATGAAAACCCCAACTGATCAAATGAAGAAAGTCTGACTTTTCCTTTACCAAAGAAAAGGGTAGGAATTCCACATAGATTAGGTAGGGGTGAAACAATCATTATTTCCCCAGGCCTAACAATTACTATCAGGGGAAACTTTACACAGGGGTGAAGATAGCACTGATGTAATTCTATAAAGCAAAATAGTCATAACAACCCATGTAGATAGTAAATACTTTTCTCTTAGACTATCGTATTAACAATGACAACTGGTGAAGACTCACAACGTGTCCCTGCTATCCTCCTTTCGTGCAAAAACCTGCCTGGTTTTTCCCAATAGCCCTCTTGTAAACCAAACCCACACATCGCTGCAGGGCAAACACACAAAACGCTTACCAAAGTTACTGTGTTTTTTGCCACTATTTGGACTGCCTCAGCTCCTGGCCCAGTGACCTTATTTGTTGTCTGGAGGTTGACTGGTGCATTCTGCGCATCAGTGCTGAGGACTGCTTTCTGATTGTTGTTGATAGCAGTAACCATGGCAATGGTAGGTCTCTGACCCACAACAGAGGCAGGCATGGTCCCAGTTGCTGCTTTCAAGACGAGAGGTAGTGTCTTAGTGGTGATCATAGAAGCTGTAGTTACAGTTTTCTAAGGAAAACAGAAAATACACTGTAAGAGACAGAGACACTTCGTATCAGACAGGACGTGGGTTGGTTAGTCAGAAACAATAGACAGTAAGAGAAAGAAAAGGCAGCACTGAGTCTATCTACCTGCTGTTCAGACAAGCACATTATCTTCTGCTTCTGAAAATGAATAGCTAAAAAGGATTCTTATTTGAGGCACCTGTTGGGTCTATTTTAATCATCTGCAGCATTGCAGATGGATTCAAAGCAAATTCCCAAGAAAGCTGTAACTAAGCATTAGTAGTGGCATATGCAGTTTTGGGTCTTTTAGTTTCATATTACTACCAAACATATACTGTCAATATCAAATGTGTAAGTTGGAGGTTTATGAAATGTATCAGCAAACTGGCTTCTCACCAATCGAACCTCAAATTTTCAAGTAGAAACTTTACTGCCAGAGATCCTCACGATCAGAGAAAGAGGGAAAAAACACATTCATAAATCGGTTTCTTTAAGAACAAGAGCATATTTTGATTTTGGGTATCCCAAATTTCAGTTTTAGTCATACACATAGTTATTAAGCCCTTAACTTTCTGTCCTAAAACTCTGAGTAGGACTATCCTGAAGTTCTAAGAGCTGGTTATTAGTCTGTTCAGCTGCAGAAAACTAAGTTTAACTTCCGTGAAATGGGCTGGTTTTGCAACATGTATGTGATGCCATGATCGCTCTTTAACTCTTAAAGAGAGTGGTTTTGAATCAGCGAATGCCAGCATTTACCTGAAATGCTTAAATACACTATACCCACAAAATCCAAAGTTAAAACAACTGTAACTTCATAGTTTGACTTTAAAATGCACTATCTTCTAAGATGTTAAGGGAAATGCACAATCACAAATCTTACTCAAAAAGCAACAAAGCAAGACAGCCTCCATATAAACCAGAACACAACGTGCACAGAAAACTCATGGTAAGTGACACTCAACAGAATGGCAGGTGAGCTTATTTCTTGTTGGTGTAAAAAAAACCCATCGTACCAATGGCACTGTGTCTTCAAAACAGTTACTGGCATGATCAAATGCTCCTAGCATGAAATAACCACCATCCCCTCCTGATGTCAGCGCTAGGCTCTATAGCGGGACATAAAAGGAGAATCAGGCAGTCTGTACCATGTTCTGAACATGTCTGATGGAGACTGCTTGATTTTAATCACACAAGACCTTTCTCTTCTTTGTAATAAAATATTTCCAGTTGGATTCTACAATATTTTCACCAGTATTATTTCCTTAAACAAAACCTCACTTTACCCTCACACCTCTAATTTCAGAATGCTTAAACTATATCCCCTAACTGTTCATTATGCACAAGTGTAAAAATAATTCACTGTATAATGCCAGATCAAAGGACGATTCATGCTTCAATTTTAAACATTTATACAAAATTCAGACATAATTAACTTTTCCTTGTTGCAACAAGTTTCTTCTATGAACTTTGGATCTGAGATTCAAGAGCTTCCTATCAACCTCTGCTGCACCTTCTCCAAAGCAAGAGCCTCCCTTCCCCTAATGCAGTAACATTATTCAAGCTTTCCCAATGAGATGTAACCTGGTATCATTTTCATAAGCATAACATTCATCCATAAACATTTTAAAGGAAAGTATAATCAATCATGTAATACAAGACTGTGGCTCTTCCAAGGGGTTCTATTAAGTGTGTAAGTACTAAGAGTATGGTTTCAGTCAGCAGATCACAGAGCTTGAATATCCGTGTTACTTTGCTGAGCATTAATTACCTTGGTTATTCTCAAAATGTTCAATGCATGAATTTGTACTGAAATGGCATTCATAGTAAGTCTGCATTTATTTCACATAATAACATTGCAATAATATGACCTTTTAGCAGGGTTGGTGCTTTATGAACATTTCAAAAGCCCTTCTTACTGGGCTATAGTAAGTATATTAAAATGTCACTATTAAGGCAGCACATATACCTTGATTCTTAAATTGAATTACTCCGAAAGTAACCACTGAAAGCATTCCCTTAACTGACACAGCCTTGAGAGATGTATTCATTACAAGAGTAGGCACCAAAAAACTTTCTAGAGACACAAAGTATTTGACTTCTCTTGGCTGAAAGGGATTGAGGGGCAGCAGGAGAGAGGCACAACCTTAGATGCAAAATGAGGTGATGTCAGAATTATACCAACATAAGTAAAAATAGGAAAGTGTCAAGAATAAAAGCTGGTTTATTCATTCAAGTAAGAGGATGACCTGACTTTCAGTTTGTACTTTCCGTGTTCAGCTGTACCAATGATACTCAGAAGGGTGTAGCAGTTTTTGACTGTTTCACTAGAGGGCTCTTTAACTTTGAACAAAACCTCAGTTTTTACAACCCAGGAGATGACCTGGAAGTTAATGCATGAATGCAAAGTGTGGAATTGAGAGAAATGTATGACACAGCTCTTGCAAGTCATGTTTCCTGACTGAAAACAGTGAGACAGCAAAGAGTGATCCATTGTTCGCCTACTGGTATTTTAGGACACAGTAACTTCTTTGTTCTGTTTTAGCTTTGATATTAATGTTGCTGCTCTGAAATGTCTTTTCCTTCATTAAGTTTGCTTCATTTCTGCAATATTCTTTTCTCAAAGCCTCACAAATACAGTTTTAGAGCACATCCAACACAACTTGATGAGTTAATGAGAGAACTGACAGCTCAAGCATTTCTCCCCCCTCTACTTCCAGGAAAAGGGAAGACAGGAATCACAATCAATCAAAGCTACAGTTGCGATTCACTGAAGTGTGCATAAAGTAAACTTCATGGGCGAACTCTGACATCTGCCTGTCCACAATCCCAAAACTGTAGCTAGTGTCTCTAATCCAATACCATACTGAAATTCAGTGTACCTTCCCAAGAAAGACACTACTCCCTAAAACTCAAACTTTGCAATCAATAATGTACACTTCTAGATGAATCCTTGCAAACTTCAGGAAATATGACTTGATACAAGTTACATCTGTTTATAAAGAACCAAGCAGAAGGAAGAGGGAACTGCTTTCTGACATTCTGATCACAGATACAGTGGGCACTCTGTCAGTCTTTTAAAACTAAAGTATTTTAATCATACCCCTCATACAGCGTGTCCAAAGTCTTCATTGCTTCAAGATCTACTGAGTATGGACAATCATTCCTGACAGGTTCATTTGCTAACTTTCACTTACTGATACTGCCATCCTTCCTTTCTGTGAGGCTATAATCTGAATTTTAGACACTACATAATTTGACTCAGATAGGAGGTTATTGCCAAAAAAAATAGCCCATGAGACCCATACCTACACATGCACAGAAGGAGAAATTCATACTGGTACGTTAATGGGCATAAGTGAAAGTTTGCAATTTTCTCCCTGCATTTTTGATTTCTTTTTTCACCTTTAGCAAGAAAAAGAATTGTTGTAGAGGTTTTTACCTGTGATCCAATCACGTTTGGAGAAGGTGCAGTAGACTGCTGCTGCTGTTGATGGTGATGTTGCTGTAGCTGTTGTAGTGGTTGCGGCTGTGGTGTCTGTAGTTTGTTTTCTGACTGTGCCAACGGCTGAATTTGAAACTTACTGTCTGGCTGTTCCTGCTTCACTATCAAATTCTTCCGAAGCTGTTCCACCACTCTTTTCTACCAGATAAACAAAAGCAGAAACGGAAATGACGACAGTTATTTAGCTGCAAGCATTAGAGAAGATAAGAACTCCTAAAGTTACATTTATTTAATGTAAATAAAGAACTGCTCAGAAGCTTAATGGGATTTCTCTTTTTGGTATTTTAAATATTGGTGTTATCTAATAGGCATGATGTCAAAACAGGCCCCAGAGGAGTGCTGCTGCCCAGCAGGCTGACCTTGCTGTTCATGCAGAAACCTACCCCCCAAAATTCAGCCTCTTCACAAACCACTACAAGACCTCATTAACCTATATTCACTTGAGACTCATTAGCATTCTGATTCCAAAGCTTCTGACTCCTTCAAACATGCACCATTCCTAAATAAGGATGATAAAGGACTTCGGGTTGAAGCCTCAAGGCTGACTTCAGGGCAATAGGGATGCTATTTTGCACCAGGCATCGAAATGGAGTAGAGAAGCAGGCAGTTTGAGTGCAAAGCGGGAACAGGAAGGGCATGGATGTGTGGTAATTCTGTTCAATATTATTGTCACCTGAAAGAAATCAGACAGGGCTACCTATGTGGGAAGGAAATGACAGATTTATTTCTCCTGGCTTAAAGGCTTCCTATCACATTATAATTTCCATGAAAGTTTGAAATGGTTTAAAAAAGAAGTTTCTTCTCCTGGTAGGCACTGTGTATTTTTTCCTGCACTCCAACCACCCCCAAATTAGGACAGCTTTAAAAAAATGCAGATATATACTTAAGCCCCTTTGATCAAGAGCAGATGCATACTCCAAAACAGTTATACCACATGGCTGGCTTCGAAAGAGGACAATGAAGTCACAGATGTGGTAGGGACTCAGCTGAGGAAGTTCTAGCGGAAACAGAGATGGTCAGGACACCTCTACCAGAGCCAGGTGCCATTGGTGTGCTGCCCAAGCAGCTCCACTCACACAGAGAGGGAAAGAAAAAAACCCACATTCTGACAACGTCAAATGTTTTGATTTTTGTTTTGAAGCATTGGTATTAATACAAAATGGAGAGATGGAGGGAAAAAAAACAGTAAATCCAGCTATTTACAACCAACTGAAATAATTTTTTCCCCTCAAATTGCTTTCACATGGGATTATGAAACTCTGAGCTAACAAAATCTCTGTTCTCTGCATAGTTCTTGGGGACAAACTGTAGAATTTTGATTCCAAGTATCTTGCTTCTGGTGAGTTAAAACTGCATGGTGCTTCACACAGTGTGCACCTCTAGCCCAGAAGAAGAGAACAAAAGGCTCAGAGTCACAGATCAGCAGCTTTGAGAACTGGAACTTTAAAAAGCTAAATAAACCCCACAAGTAATCAAAACACCATCCCTGTTTCATAAGGCTGAAATGTGTAAGCTCACATGACTGACCTTTCTGCAAGAGACTGCATTCAGAGACTCAGATGTGTGCAGAAGGAGGACTGACTGGCTTCTATAAAGCCCACTGCCCTGGCTGGGAATACACACTCAGCTCCGCCAGCAGGAACACTCAGGGAGCTGGTAATGGACGGCAGCATGAAGGAAGTATTTTACACTGCATCCAGAAAAGTGCTAAAAGCTGTCAAAGCCTAAAAGCTGTAAATTGCCTGTTCCCTTCTACAACAAGGCAAAAATAACAGCAGTGTAGAAGGCATTTTTCGAATTCAGATATTTTACATAGTTTTAAATGGCCTGGGGTCTATCAGCTCTTTAGTATATGTAGTAACTGAACGAGCAGTTAAAGCTGCCTTCTGCAAAGATCCACTGTGTTAACCTGCAAACCAAAGTGCTGTGTCAGCAAGCAGATACAGGAGCTGAAAAAACATTTCCAGAGAGTAATCCGAGGGGAAGGAGAGGGAATAATGCAACATGCCTATGGAATACCTGCCAAAAAATGGACTGCACATACACTGCACACAGGAGGCTCAAGAATTACTGAACCTGGCATGAACAGGAAAGGAGGTTTTGTCTTCCACAGCTGTCTGCGTGGAATTCAGTGATAGTAGTGCTCCTGACTATACAATAACTGATTCCCTGACTGGAGGAAATCAGCAGCAACAGCCCCAAAATTCATTTCCATCTTGTTCTTTACAATGGGATGAACATTAGTGAAAGGATTTTTAAAAGAATAAAAAGAGGGAGAGAAGAGAGCAGGCGGCAGACTGAAGGACTTGCCTGCCACAGTGCTCCGGCAGGGTGAGAGGGAGCGAGGAGCAGGAGTGAGGTGAGTCACATCACATTCACACTGCTGCCTGTCCCACTCCCTGGGCCCGGACCACAGCAAGCAGAGCTGGGCCGAACCAGGACCAAAGCACAACTTTTATTAGCGCCTTGTGCACAAACGGAGGCTCCGCACGTTTGGCACAAGATGGATGTAACGTGGGTAGAAGAGCTGTTGCTCTGGAAGTCTATGCTAGCCTATTAGAGGCTGCTGAGAGCTGCCTGGCAGCAGCGTATCCTGCCATGCATATCCATTATGCAGATATTAAATTGGAAGAAACATCTAATGCTTTTAAGATTCAGAGAGCGAAACTGAAGTTTGCAGTGCATGCCAATTGCTTACGCGGTTTATTAAGCTGCTCCTACCAACTGTCAGTGAAAACATCACGCTGCAACTCCGGAAATCATTATATGACCTGCAAGACTGTTGGGATTATGTTTGTTAGTAGTTATCAGGAGGGAGACTCTAAACAGCATATTCCAAAGTTGCATAGCTTAATTAGCAAAGCCAGATGAGACTTTTAGTGTGGCACCTACACAGGAACTAAGAGTAGGTCTACACCTATTTTCAGCACTACCCTCTACTGCGTCCCTCTCAACCCACGCCACTGGTCTGACAACGTATAGGGCTCCTCTGCAGCATCCTGCTGGATCCAGCATCCTGCTGGAACTGCTGCTCTGCAGCTGCACTAGAGCCGCAGCACGTGTCTGCTTGCAGCAATGTTAGCAGAGCCTCATGTTATAGTGGATGAAACAGGAGGGCAGCATGAAAGAAACTCTTGCCTGCTGTCAGACTTGATACATCATTAAAACTGCATTTTAAAACTGTTCTTCAGTTATTTGACTGTTCCTCATCAATTTCGAGGGCAGTTTGTGCTGCAGAAAGTACACTCTGCATGACTGAAATTTGCCAAGGCTGTTACAAAGTCCTTACTAATGTGCTTTAGAGACTGCCAATGAGACTGAGGTTATCCAAAAGCACCACAGAACTCCAAGGAAAATTTGTACTTCTTTAAATGTAATCAGTGCCATTTTCCCTTCCCACTCTCATTTAAGAATATTTAATTTAATTAAACTCCTATTGACAACTTCAAACTTTTAAATTGAGATTAACGCAATCATAAACACGTTAGTTTTCTACACGTCAGAAAGCTCTAACTCTCCCCATAGTCCTAGAATAGTTGTGTCCTGCCACACCACAAATGTACGAAAAGCGTTTGTCTTTCAAGTTCACCGAATTTCCCTCCAAGCTGAAGGCCAACCCTCTCTTTACAGTCAGAATGTGAATGAAATTAATAACCACTCCCTTTATCACAAACTGTATTCTACCCCAAAAGTAACTGCTAGTCCTCTGCAGGGGTTACTATCAGACTACTTCAACATCCACTGTTGAACAGTGCCCTGTAAGCACACTACACGATCTCATAGCTCTTGCTGTCTTGACATCTTTATCGCTAATCTCATCAAGAACTGTTCACACAGCCCCAGACATCTTACGTGACCCGTTCTTAATGGTAATAATTGTAATCAATATTGTGACATTTACTGATACCACTTGCTCATTCATGCCACAGGCCAGATCCTAACACAGCATTAGAAGACTATTTTGGTTTGATTAAGCAGAAAATCTCCTTCTGTGTCTTGTGGGCCATATATCTGTGCCAAAAGGTGTCTTCTGTGTGCTCATAGAAAAAACTATCATGAATGTGTTGCTGAAAGATAAGTCCTTGAAGCAAACTTAAAGCTTAGTAAAGTTTCAGTGTAACATTATTAGCTAAGCATTATTTCCATTTTAATCAATCAATCAATATCAAAGTAGTTCTCTGAGTAGAGTGATTTTTATATCCTAGATCAACTTGTACTTGGTGACACACTTTCTTCTTCATCTAGGAAACCCATTCAGAAAAGCATACATATCTAAAGGAGGGTCTGGTTTGAAACGTCAAAAATCTACAGAAACTAAATAACCGCTATCTTCCAAAAATGAGAGAGACAAGTACTAAACAGCTCTGCATCACATACATTTCGTATCACAAAACCAGTGCTGATGTGGTTCGAATTGCTTACCTGCTCCACCATAGAATCACAGAATAGTTAGGGTTGGAAAGAACCTTAAGATCATCTAGTTCCAGCCCCCCTGACATGGGCAGGGACACCTCACACTAAACCATGTCACCCAAGGCTCTGTCCAACCTGGCCTTGAACACAGCCAGGGATGGAGCATTCACAACCTCCCTGGGCAACCCATTCCAATGCCTCACCACCCTTATAGTAAAGAACTTCTTCCTTATATCCAATCTAAACTTCCCCTGTTTAAGTTTTAACCCGCTACCCCTTGTCCTATCACTACAGTCCCTAATGAAGAGTCCCTCCCCAGCATCCTTACAGTACCCCTTCAGATACTGGAAGGCTGCTATGAGGCTGCTATTCCAATTCCAGGAAGTCAGCTATTATGGATCCTCTGGCACGTGTTCCCTCCAATGACCAAGAAATGTTCTCTGGGATATAAAAGTTGCCAACTGCTGTGAATGAAACAGTGGGAGAAAGTACTGATTCCAAATAAGCTCCAGTTAGGACTGCGGACAATGGAGGGGATTTCACTGCTTTGCAATATTCCTTCCCATATCTCTCTGCATTCTTTGCCAGCCTCATTCACTGTTGGTACCCAAAGAGAAGTGAAATACTTCTGCTTTTTGACAGAACAGAAAGGTACCAAAACCTCTGTGGTGGAAAGAAGCCAAAAGGTCTTGGAGCCCTGACACAGTTAGTCTTTAACCTGCAAA